AGCACACTTAATCAAACATTGAAAATTGAAGTAAAATGTATGGATCATTGTGGAAATTTGTGACTGGCCTTCCTGTCATTAGGATGAGCAAAATCAAGGATATTCCTCTTCATCCGTTACGTTAGCGTATTGAGCGAGGAGAGCCTCTTTCCTTTTCTTCGACTCCTCGGACACCTCCTTCTGTTTCACCACAATCTGAGCTTGTTTTTCTATCATACTGGCGATGGCCTGGACCTCGGCTGCAGAAAAGGAATAACAGTCAAACTTTACACAAACAACAATAACATGTATTGATTTCTTTCATAATCTTCATCTTATATAACTATATATAGCTTTAAAGCAACTTTTGACTCCATTATTACCGAGGAGTTTTCATCTGTGTTGGTTTTATTATTTGGGAGGATTACGCAAGGACTACTGAGGAAGCCAGGGTAGAAGCTATTGGATCTTGGTGCTGCTCTGGATCAGACGTCAGATCCCAGAATTAATTGTAAGATAGGACATTCTTCATCATTTTTGTTGATACCTCACAAAATAATTCATGGATCTTAATGAACCAACAATGTCCTCCAAGAGAAGTTAAATTAAATCCGTTCGACAAGGTCTCTTGGAGAAAAACACCTTAACACTCAATGAGTTTAGGAATGTGGACGAGGCAGAGTTACATAAAATACCATCATCAGCATCTCCTCTGGCCGCTGATCGGCTTCGACACTCCGTCCACTGCTTGATGATCTGGTTACAGACGTCTTCCAAGGTGTCCTCAGTCTGTGAACAAAAGTAAAAGTTCAGGACAAGTAAAAGCTCAATGACTTTCTACACTCGCAGGATGTATGCTGTGGTATTGTGACCTCATGTCTGACGGAACAGTTACTTTTTAGCTTAGTCTAAATTTTACAAAACTTGTGCTTCGAACAAATGGCACGGCTGCATTTGGAAGACTTCCTCTAAGGCACATACGTGAACCCCCTTAAGGAGTTGTTCCAGTACAAGACCACGGTTAAGTGATTTTTGAATGGGGTTTGGCGAAGCAGGGTAGAACAACTTGGATCGTTAGCTACTGCACATGGGCCTCAGCTGAAGAAACACTGCTGTGTGGTGTGAGGACATCTTGCTCCAGAAATGACGGCTGACATCAGCGCTGTCATTTGGTCCCGCCCGGCAGAGACGGACAGCAACACATGAGAGCAGGGACACGCCGCTTGGATAATCACCAGAAATGCGGATAAAATCCCTTGAAGCGCGTCCTCTTTCTCCTCGTCGCTCTCGTCTTCTTGTAGGACCCCTAATATATACGTCCCGTACACCTCACGGTCCACTTCCAACGAGTCCAGTCGATCATTTAGCCAGCTTTCAAACTCCCCGGCGTCTGCCATGGGCGCGGCCATCTTGGACCTGTGGGGTCTTTCGGTAGCGCACGGATGTCCTATGTGACTGCCTGTTGAAAAAGAAGGTAAAAACAAAACTTCTTACATTTTTTAAACCTCTTCGTGCATTTGAATACACTTTATTTTTGATTGTAAAATGGTTGGAGCTTATTGTGAATCTGTATCCGTGCTCATGAAACTCCAGCCTCTCTCTATAAGTCAAATCTCCTGTGTGATCTTCATCATTTTCAACTCAAAATGTTTGTAGCTCACTTTCGACAGAGAAGCATCAGTCACATCTCTACATGTTGACGTAGAACGGTAAATATTATATGTTTGTAATGTTAGCCATCTAAATACCTGTGCCACAGCTTTTCTTCTGCCTCACAGAAAACCAAATAA